TTTACCTTTTAGTGAAAGAAAGTCAGACATGTAAAGAGAGATAGTGCAATTAAAAAGAAAACAGCTTACTGAATTAAAGTACTAGTAAACATCTTTGTTTAAGCAGTGATATAATATTTAGACCTTTTTATCTTAAGGAAGGTAAAATGATTATTTATATTAGAGTCTTTTAAAGTTTTTCATTTGAGGCATTTGTTTTTTTTGTTGTCTCCTTTGGAATTATCTTTTATTTTATGTTTTGACTTGGCTCAAAATTCAAAAGGTTAAAAGTCTCTCAACCCATCCTACCTCTGATAGGCAGCTGCTGATATCAGATTCTTGCTTATTCTTTCAAAGACTGTTTCACGCATATGCAAGCAAATATAAACATACATGTATATATCCCTTCTACATTTTCACACAACTTTTAGCAAACTACATATGCTTTTCTGCATCTTACTTTTACCCTTCACATGGTATCATGGAGACTATCCCATGAAGCAATATCAAGAGCTCCACTACATCTTTATTTATTTGTTTTAAATTTTTGTGGTACTCCATTGTATAGATATGCAAAGATTTCTTTTAATAGAGATTACTTTTTTTGACTGTGTTGCTTCTTAACCAGCCCCTCCTGATAGGCATTTAGATTATTTCTTTCAGAGAACAATTTAACCTCATGTAGCATCATGTGGGAAGGGTGGAAGATTCCACTCCTACATGCATACTCTAGGGGAGCTCACATATTCCTGGGACCAGAAAGCAATGTTCCAGCATGTTCATTGCAATAATGTCTGTAGTAGACGGTAACCAAAAGGTCAGTGAAGAGGGGAAGAGATAAATTGTAGTAGATTTCTCCAGCAATGAAATCAAATGAACTATCCAGCAAGTGAAATCAAATGAACTATTTGTACGAACAAGGATTCATCTTATAGACCACGTTACGTGCAAGCAAACAAATGACGAAATCAGGAAGAAACATTTTATACAAAGTCTAAATGCAAGGCCAGGAGCAGTGGCTTACACTTGTAATCCTAGTACTTTGGGAGGCCAAAGTGGATGGATTGCTCAAGCCCAGGAGTTTGAGACCAGCCTGGGAAACATGACAAAACCCCATCTCTAGAAAAAATGCAAAAATTAGCTGGTCATGGTGGTGCTCACCTATAGTCCCAGCTACTTGGGAGGCTGAGATGGGAGGATTGCTTAAGCCTGAAAGGTCAAGGCTTCAGTAAGCAGAGACAGCACCATTGCACTACAGCCTCAGAGACACTGCACTCCAGCCTCAGTGACACTGCACTCCAGACTTGGTGACAGAGCAAGATGCTATGTCAAAAAAAAGTCTAAAAACATGTTAAACAAAAGGATTGTCTAAAACTTATTAAAAATATAAAGGCATACAGCAAATTTGAGACACACATCCAACAGTAGTTCTTGCTTTGCTCAGTAGAGTACTGGATGAAACACAGGCATGTCGGAACTGTGGAAAATCAGGGCTGTCTACATACATTGCTATAATTTTGTTGTATGCTACATATAGCCAATAATATTATAATGTCACAAATTGACAAACCTGGGTGGTGGCTTCACAAACATTTCTTATAATTCTCTATTCTTTCTTCCAAATAGATTACTTCAGAATAAACTTTGTGAAGTAAATCCATGGGAATTGAACAAAATATAAAAGGAGTTATTGAGTGCGAGGAAAGCTCCAGAGAGGTGAAGACAGATGGAGAGATGATAACACTGAGCATGTTAATGACCTTCATGGTAACAGATTTCCTGGAGGAGTGTAAGCTGAAGACAGAATGAAGTGGATAGAAAGATGAAGGAGTGGGGACTCCAAGGGGTAAATGTGGGGTGGGGTGGGTCAGACTGAGAGGTGCAGTTTGGTTCTGAACACTCTGCTTTAGATCCAGCACTTAGAGAAAGAGGAGTCACATTTATTTGGCTTCTTCCACAATCTTTAGAGAAATCTTCTGAAACGAAGAAAAGAAGAAAAGAAGATATATGAATGGCCAATAGTCTTCAGGGGAAAATGCTCAATAAACCCATAGGAGAAACCACTCAGCATCTATTAGAATGGCTAAAATTAAAACTATTAATAACTATATGTTGGCAAGGATGCAGAACAGTCTGTCCTCTCATCTATTGTCTATGGGACTATAAAGCAACTAACTACTCTGAAAACCAGCTTTGTATCATGTAACAAAGTTAAACAGACTAGTACTCCATGGCTAGCATTTCCATTCCTAGTTATTTACTCAAGAGGAATGAAGAGTATGTCCTAGAATCTCTGTACAAGAATGTCCTATGTGGCCTGTACTTAATGATTCGCTTCTATCTGATAGAGTAACACTAACATAATACTTTATGAGTCTTGGTATAGAACAAAAAACTCACTGTAGCTTCCACCTTTGCTCTCTCTGTCTCTGAGATCATGAACTCTGGGGAAGTCAGCTGCTGTGTTATAAGCAGACCAGTGAAAAGGTCCATGTGGCTAGGAACTGAGTCTTCATGGGACCATACAACAAGGAACTGAGGCCTTTTCCAGTAGCCATGTGTATGAGCCATTTTTTATGCAAATCCCCAGCCCCAGTTGAGCCCTCAGATGATGCAGCCCTGTCTGACAACTGGACTGCAACCTTGTGAGAGGCCCTGAGCCTGAAGCACTCAGGGAAACCTCTCCTGGATTCCCAGAATCCAGAAAATTCTCTCCTGGAAATTGTGAGAGATAATAAATATTTGTTGCTTTGAGCTGTGAAGTTTAGGTAATTTATTATGTAGCAGTAAAAAATTAATACAGCTTCACAAGAGAGGATGAATTATTACACTTTAACTTTCATTTGCTCTAAATTTATTAGTATTATCATCGTTATTATTGAAACAGGGTCTGGAGTGGAGTGCTGTGACAGTCCACTATGACAGCTCACTGCAGCCTCGACCTTCTGGGCTCAAGTAATCTTCCTACTTCAGCTGTCTGAGTAGTTGGCAGTACAGGCATACACCACCATGCCTGGCTAAAATTTTTATACTTTTGGTAGAGACAAAGGTTTTGCCATGCTGCCTAGGCTGATCTTGAACTCTTGAAATCCAGCTCTTTGCCTGACTCTGTCTCTGAAATTGCTAGAATTACAGGCATGAGCCACCACACCCAGCCTAAATAATTATATTAAATATGCCATTTGGTTTTAAGAGGTAAGAAGAATTTCCAGGGCTAAATATGATGTATTTTATTATCACTCACAATGATTGCTTTGTTTGAACTTCAATTTCCAACTGTGTCCCAATTAAAGTCAAAAGAAAGACCCAGGCCATGCTAGGCGGATTCTATCATGGCCCCCATGATAGATGTGTGCCTCTGCTCATTCACCTGCCCCAGTTATTCAACCAACAATAATGTAGGTGCTGCCTTGAGGGGATTTTTACATATATAATTGAGATCCTAAATCAGTTGACTTTAAGACAGGGATTCTACTGGGTAGGGCCATCCTCATCTGGTGAGCCCGTGAAAGGACTGGGTTCTCTCTGAACATAGAGATTCACAGTGTGAGAGGGATTCAGCATGAGGGGTTTCCTCCACTATGTGGGAAAGAAGGCTGGTGGGCAGCAGGAATTGAGAGAAGCCTCTCTCTACTTTGAGAGCAGGCAAGGAACAGGAACCTCAGTCCTACAACTTCCAGAAACTGAATTCTGTCACCTCTGTATAAGCCTGAAGGAGGCCCTCAGAATGAAAACACAGCTTTGGGAAGCCCTAAACAGAGAACCCTCCAATCATGCCCAGATTTCTGACTAAGAAGTGTAAATAGATAAATAAGTTTTGTTTGGTCAGGTGTGGTAGCTCACACCTGTAATCCTAAGGTTTGTGGGAATGACGGAGGAGGATGACTTGCAAGCAGGAGTTTGAGACTAGCCTGGGCAATTTGAAAGACTCTCCTCTCTACAAAAAGAATTTTTTTTTAATTTAGTTGGGCATGGTGGCACTTCCCTGTAGTCCTACCTAGTCTGGAGACTGAGGCAGGGGGACCACTCGAGGCCAGAAGTTTGAGGCTGCAGGGAACAATGACCACACAATTGTACTTCACTTTGGATGACAGAGGGAGAGAGATCATGTCTCTAAAAACGAATTGATAAACTCAATAAATGTGTTCAGCTTAAAGTCAATGTTTGTGGTAGTTTGTTATGCTGTCACATAAAATTCATACACAGGCTCAACAGACACATGGAATGAATTTATGAATTGAAATCCACCCTACATGCTTAAAATAAAATATTTTCTTTTTCTGGTATTTTTCATTTTATAATTTTGTGTGATACAATTAAATTTTATACAATCATATTTTATTCAACCAGTCAACAAAAATTTAGGCTCTAAACTGAACCAGGTATGCCCTCATATGCTCACCTGCCTGGCATTGTAGAAACTTCACGAGACTGAGGTAGAGCTATTGACGTGTTTTAGGTGGAGAAATGACACACTCTGACTCACATTAACAAGACCGCCGTGGAAAGAACAGTCATGTAGCTGGTAATGGGACTGTGCTAGAGCCACAATTCAGGAGGGGCACAGTGGTGGGGACTCCAAAGTGAAGAGGAGGGCCTGAGGGATGAGAGATACAGAGGGAAGGGCTGGAGAAGCAGGAGGTGAGGAGGAGCAGAGGGAAATAATTCAAAAGCAGCAGAATTCTTAGGTTTAAACACATCGTTTTATAGATTTTTAGTATATCCATCTACAGAGCCTAGCGGGGCCTTCCTTACATTTGGCCTTTAACACCATACATGAGAATGCCTAAAAACAAATTGCTTTATATGTTTAATTTTTAAGTTTAATGAAACACTAATTGTTCCAATAAAATATGCACACCACTTAGATGTGGATACTTTATTAAAAAAATAGCAGTGCCTGAGCGCTGGTGAGTGGCACTGTGACTGCATTGAACATTTCAACTGTGAGGTGAATGAAGTCTGTACTGGCTCCTGGTTGCAACATATGGTAACACAGTGTGCTACTTTGTACTGAGGAGATGTCCTGGACTCACACAGAAATTCAGGGTTATGGAAAGAGGGTAATTTTAAACTACACGAGTCACAGATACATAGTCTGGGAAAGCAAAATTTAGGAGCTCTGTGAGTGGTCAGTTGTAATGCATTTAGACACATTTACATATCAACGGGCCAAAGTAATCTTTTTTACACATAAGATTCCTAATTATTCAGGAGTTACCAAAATTCTACTATTCACTGCAGCAAATACAAAGGAAACTGGTCTCTATCTCAGGCGCTCAGGCACAACTTTTCCAGATTAAAAACAAAAACAAAAAACCCTGTCGCTACACCTCCATTCCCAGGACAAGCTCACTCTCTGGCACCAAGCTCCCTGGGGTGAGTTTTCTTCTAAAAGAGCCCAGGGGAGTTCAGGTATGCCGGTAGGAGGCAGAAAGTCCAGTTCAGGGACAGGGATCCCAAGATGAAAAGTGAAGTGGGCGGTGCTACGTCCATGCCCACGGTTTCTCCTTGTATTTTTAGCCGCTGGTCAAAGACTCAGGGAGATATTGAGACAGAGCGTTTGGTGCAGGAGGAGCGGGGTCTGGGCGAAGTCCCAGGGCCCCAGGCGTGGCTCTCATGGGGAGTCTGCATTGGGGAGGCGCAGCACTGGGGATTCCCCACATCCCTGCAGATTCACTTCTCCCTCTCTCCACATAGATGAGGTCTTTCTTCCTGGATACTCATGACGCGTCCCCAGTTCCCATTCCCATTGGGTGTCGCGTTTCTAGAGAAGCCAGTCAGCGTCGCTGTGGTCCCGGTTCTAAAGTCCCCGCGGGCTCACTGAGACTCAGATTCTCTCCAGACGTCGAGGATGGGGTCAGGGCGCCCCGAATCCTCCTCCTGCTGCTCTCGGGGTCCCTGGCTCTGACCAAGACCTGGACGAGTGAGTGCGGGGTCGGGAGGGAAACGGCCTCTGCTCTGGGAGGAGGAGCGAGGGGCCCACCAGGACGCAGGATGCTGGTAGCCCTGCGGGAGGAGGTCGGCGGGTCTCAGCCCCTCCTCGCCCCCAGGCTCCCACTCCGTGAGGCATTTCAGCACCTCCGTGTCCCGCCCGGCTGCGGGGAGCCCCGCGTCATCGCGGTGGGTTACCTGGAGGACAAGCAGCTCCTGCGGTTCGACAGCGACGCCGAGAGTCCCAGGATGGAGTCGCCAGCGCCGTGGATGGAGCAGGAGGGGCCGGAGTATCGGGAGGAGGAGACGGGAAATCAAGGCACTGCGCAGACTGACCGAGTGAACCTGCGGACCCTGCAAGACTACTACAATCAGAGCGAGGCCGGTGAGTGACCTCGGCCCGGGGCGCAGATCACGACCTCTCCCCATCCTCGATAGCCCGGGTCCTACCGAGTTTCCAGGTCCCTGAAACTCTGGGACCCGCCCAGACCCTCGACCTGGGAGAGCCCCAGGCACCTTCATCGAGTTTCATTTTTAGTTTAGGCCAAAATCCCCAAGGGTTGGTGGGGCGGGGGAGGTGCCGGGGCTTGGTGGGCGGGGCTGACTGCGGGAGCAAGGCCAGGGTCTCACGCCTTCCAGAGGATGATTGTCTGCGACCCGGGGCCAGACGGGCGCCTTCTCGAGGGGTATGAACAGTTCGCCTACGATGGCAAGGAATACCTCATCCTGAATGAGGACCTGCGCTCCTGGACCGCCAGGAACACTGCGGCTTAGATGACCCTGAGCACGTGGGAGGCAGACAAATACTCAGAGCAAGTCAGGGACTACCTGGGGGGCGAGTGTGTGGAGTGGCTCCTCAGATACCTGAAGAAAAGGAAGGAGGTGTTTCTCCTACTACAGTGGGGAATCCTCCCATGGTATCAGGTGTTAGTAACATGGTTCCATTAATCGTGGGCAATCTCTCCTTTAACATAGGATCAAGAGTTCTAGCCCAAAATTTAACTGTGATGCCCCAAGCTTCCTTGGGCTCAGGACAAACTTGGCATTTCCCAGTACACCCGCCTACTCAGGGACCCAGGTATTGCCAATGGCTGATAATCAGGCTAATCCCCTGGCTCCCCCTGCAGCGCTGTTACAACACACCCAAGCTCCTAATATTCATGCACCAGAGCAGCTGTTACAGCCCCAAGCAGCTGCCCAGCCCCAGGCCATACATCAGCTTCCGAGGGCAGTGCAACTGGTCTCACGGCGCCCTCCATAAACAACGTTGCCCCAGCAATGAGATTTCAATGGAAGGTCTTGCCACAAGGCATGCTTAACAGCCCTACAATTTGTCAATTCTGTGTGGGGAAAGTGCTGTCCCCATTTAGAACTCAGTTTCCCCAATGCTATTTGATCCACTACATGGACGATATTCTGTGTGCAGCTCCTGTACGTGACTCTTGTTTCAGTGTTCTCTATGCTCAGGGAGCTCATTACAGCAGGTGGCCTGACTATCTCCACGGAGAAGATCCAACTGTCCGCCCCTTATCAGTATTTAGGAATGCGGCTTGAGGAGCGCACAGTTAAGCCACAGCTGGTGGAACTGTGGAGAGATGAGTTAAAAACTTTGAATGACTTCCAAAAACTCTTTGAAGATATGAATTGGATTAGTCCAGTATTAGGGATTCCTACCTATGCTCTTTCTAACATTTTCCCCACCCTGAGAGGAGATCCTAACCTACACAGCAAAGGCAGCCAGCCTCTCCAGAAGCTGAACAAAAACTACGTTTTGTAGAAGAAAAGAATCTGAGAGGCTCAGGTTTTTAGGATTCAACCCTCTTTGCTTTTCACTATTTTAATTTTTGCTACCCCTCACTCCCCTACGGGGGTGATTACACAAAATGATAGCCTTATTGAATGGTGCTTCCTGCCTCATGCTGCTGAATGCTATCAGTATATTTGGATCAACTTTCTACCTTAAAAGGGCTGGCTGGTAATAGGCTATTATGTCTGACAGGCTTAGAAGCACACAGATTGGTTGTCCCCCTCTCACAAGAACAAGTTCACCAGGCTTTTATTCACTCCACCTCCTGGCAGCTTAATCTGGCAGGATTCCCGGGTGTCATTGACAACCATTACCCCAATGTTAAACTTTTCCAGTTTCTTCACCTAACATGTTGGATATTACCAAAAGTTACCCGAAATGCCCCTCTAGAGGGAGCAGGTGACTGTTTTTACTGATGCTTCCTCTAATGGCAAGGCTGCATACACTGGCCCCAAGGAAAGGGCCTTGCATACCCCAGCTGTTTTGGTTCAGTGAGCGGAACTAATTGCTCTAATTGCAGCCTTGGAAGATTTTCCAGGTCCTTTAAACATTGTTTCAGATTCTGCTTATGCAGTTCATGTTACTCCTAACATAGAAACTGCATTTGTCAAATTTCTGTCTGATGATTCACTGTTCCTAAGCTTACAAACAGTTGTATGGTCTAGGACCTCCCCCTTTTATATTACACACATTAGAGCTCATACATCTTTGCCTGGCTGGTTAACCACATCTAATTCCCAGGGAGACACCCTCGTAGCAACCGCTCTACAGGATGCCCGCAACTTTCATGAATTAACTCATGTTAATGCTTCAGGTCCTAAGGACTGGTATGCTATTACATGGAAACAGGCAAAGGGAATCGTCCACCATTGTCCCTCCTGCCAGGTTGTCTCCCTTCTCTCACAAGCAGCTGGTACTACCCTAGAGGTCTCGCTCCCAATGCCGTATGGCAAATGGATGTGACCCACTATCATGCCTTTGGAAAAGCTTCTTTGGTTCATGTCTCTATAGACGTATTTTCCCATTTCATATGGGCTACCTGTCAAACAGGGGAATGAGCTGCCCGGATTAAAAGGCATAGGCTCTCATGCTTCGCTGTGATGGGCATACCTGCAAAACTAAAAACTGATAATGGACTGGGATATACTAGTAAGTCATTTCAACGTTTTCTAGATAAATGAAATATTCAACACACCGCCGGCATTCCTTATAATTCACAAGGACAGGCCCTGGTAGAAAGGGCTAATAAGACACTCAAGGAACAGTTAAATAAACAACAAAAACCAGATGACAGTGATTGTTTTACTCAAAAAGACTCAACCACTGCAAAACGGATGTCAGGCACTCTGATAACTATGAGCCGAGGATTTGCTTGTATTTCCACAGATAACTCTCCTGATCCTGTCTGCATTCCATCATGGCATCTTAAGCTCATCCCTGAGGAACAACATGAGCTCCCACTGCCGTCCCTGTGGAAATCACAGGAGAGCCCCAACTTCTGGATGATCATATCGTCCATCTCCCTAATCATAACTCTTCTGGCTGCCATGCTTCTCACCACCACGGCAGTTTCCCCCATCCTTCTCCCCCTTCTCCCCCGCTCCCCATTCTCCTCGCCGTCCTGTTAATGAAAGCCTGCTTCATACACCTCTCACTTTCACTCAAATTTATCAACTTGTGAATATGGCTTGTCATATAACAGAACAGTGCAATATTCCACCTACTCCCAGCCGTACTCTCGCTGCTGCTCTTATTATACTTTTTCCTCTGATGGGATCCACTGCTTCTGTATTTCCTGGCTCTGATAATTTTTCCTGCTGGGCATATATACCTTTTCCCCCACTGTAAGCTCTGTTTCTTGGGTGGACTCTTCCATAGAAATCTACACTAACAGCAGTGCTTTCCTGCCTGTCCCTAATGACAACCACCTACCTGTTCATCAAAGCAAAGAAGGCACCCTTCATAATGCCTCTAAGGGATTTGAATTTCCTCCTCTTTGCCTTGGGCCCACGCCCAGCTGTCTCCCTATTGGTGCCCAGGCATGGATGTGGGTTGTAATGCTTCTTTCCAGACCCAGTGTATGTTTATGCCATTTTTTCTTCTCTTATCAGTCCCACTCCCATCATAGCCTTTGCTTGTCTGTCATAACAACAACAACAACAATAACAACAACAACAACAAAACGGCTACCTGCTTGCTCCCAACCTCCTACAGAAGGTCTGCTCCATATTCAGACTGTTCACTGGACCACTGCAATGCACCTGTTGGGACCATACTGGGCCCCCTTAATAATGCTGTCATTGTTGACTGGGCTCCCAAAAGTTTTTATTGGCATAACTGCACTGCACAACACCCACACTGTCCGAAATATCCTCACCTCTTCACGGAGGACACGACACGCTCAGCGCTGCATCAAGTTCTGCATCACGTTCCTCGCTTATGGACCTCACCTCTCCCCTACAGATGGTCTCACGCTGGCATTGTTGCACCACGTCCTAAGGTGATTCACCCTGTTGTTGGACTGGAACATCCTGAACTGTGGAAGCTGGCTGCTGCTCCCAGTGGACTTCACTTTTGGAATGTTTCCATGGACTCTCACGGTCACAGTTCTGGTGACAGTCTACACCATCTACACTTTACCCCCAAATACATAATACCTATTCACAGTTGTGTTAAGCCTCTTTATATGTTACCGATTGGTGACTTTTCTGTTTCCTTTGTCACCAACTCTATCGACCGTAACAACTGCAAATTGTTTTCCTGTCTCGATGCTACCTTTTCTGTTAACTCTAATGTACTGCTGGTCAGGGCTAGGGAGGGAGTTTGGATTCCTGTTGTATTACATCATCCGTGGGAGTCCTCTCCCTCTATGCACATGGTAACTCACATCCTCAAGATTATTTTACATCACACCCATCGCTTTATTTTTACATTGATAGCAGCGGTTATTGGGCTGATTGCTGTCATTGTCTCAGCTGTGACTGCTGGCATGGCCATACACAACTCCATTCAGACAGCTCACTTTGCTGAACGTTGGCAAAAGAATTCCATTACTCTCTGGAATTTCCAGTCCCAGATTGATCAACAATCAGCTAATCAAGTTACTGACCTTTGCCAAAGTGTCATTTGGCTGGGCGACAGGGATTTAAACCTTGAGCATCGCTCTCAGTTACAGTGTGATGGGAACACATCTGATTTTTGCACCGCTCCTTTCAGTTGTAATTCTACACTTCACCCCTGGACTGGGACACTGTACGTCACCATCTGCTGTCCTGGGATGATAACCTCACCTTGGACATTAATCTCCCGAAGCAACAAATTTTTGAGGCTTCTCAGGCACATCTAACTACTGTCCCAGGTTCAGAAACTTTTGAAGGCATTGCACAAGGCCTCTCTGATCTTAATCCAATTAAGTGGTTTAGAAAATGGTCTGTTCCTTTAGGTGGTTTCTCCTTGTTTGCCATCATTGTGATTTTTGCTAGCATTTGTACCATGTTAATTACATGTTTCTGTATTCATAAATTTCACAAACATTATAGGCAACAACTTCAGGCCATGGTGGCCATAACTGCACTTGTAAAACAAAAGAAAGGGGGAAATGTGGTAACCCCCCATATAGGCACTGAGGAAGGGGAGCTAAGCAGAACCCTGGCGAAATTAAGGACTGAAGAATATCTCAGTTTATGTTGTTACTACTCAGTTATTTCCTTTTATATAGTCCTTTATATAATCATCTATTAGTTTATAGAATTAGGGCTTGGAGAATATCTCAGTTTATAACATTACTACTCTGTTATTTCCCTTTATATAATCCTCTATATATAACCATACGTTAGTTCATAGAATGAGTGCCTGAAGAATATCTTACCACTCAGTTATTTCCATATATATATAAGTATATCTTAGTTAATAGTCAGAAGAATGCCTAGAGTGGACACAGTACACAGCATGAATTAAGGAATAAGCAGCTTATAATCAGAGGAATGTCTAGAGCAGACACAGTGCAGAGCATAATTTAAGGGAAAACAGTTATACCAGGACAAGAATCCATGGCCCATGTGGCAGCGTTCAGTATCGTAAAGATACCCGCTGTATGGCAGGCTTGGGGCAAGAGCCACTCCTCCTGATAAAGGAGTTGTAGGACCTTGCTCCAGTTCTTGTGGAAGGCTGCCTTCAGTCCCGCAATCACACCTGGGTGGCAGTGAACTTTATCAGCTCTTGTTACTGTGCTGCTTGAAAAGCATTCCCCTATAGAACTCATTGGAAGCTGCCAGCAGGTGGTGTAGACCCTGACAACTCTGTCACTGCTATGTGACTTAAAGCATCCTCCTATAAATCTTCTTAGTAGTTTGCCCATAGATAGAGATATTGCACACTGCACCCTCTTCCCTGCGCATGGCCCACCTCCATGCCTCGGTGACCTAATAGGGGTGGAGTCCTTACTGCATATGGCCCTTGCCTCAATGACCTAATGGGGATGGACCCCTTGCTGTGCACCGTCCACCTCCCAGCCTAGGTGACCTAATGTGGGTGGACCCCTTGTTTTATTGCTCAGGACCCTATCACTGTCCTTAAAGATGACTTCACTCACTGCCCTGCCCCCTAATCTACACACAATAAATACTCACGCTTCTGGGCATTCGGGGCCTCACTTGACTCCACTCATAGGTGGCATGGCCCCCGGGTCCAGCTGCATTTTCCTTGTACTTCTGTGTCCTGTCTCTTTATTTCTCCGATCCTGCACCTCAGTACCGCATAAGGGACAACCTACGACCCTGTGGGCCATCAGTTCTACAGATCTTATGGTCTTGACTCCCTCTGGCCTGTCATAGGACATTTTCTTCACACAGATAGAAGCGGAGTGAGCTGCTATCAGGCTGCAAGTAAGTACAGAGGAAGCCGATCCCTGAGATCCTTGGGATATTGTGGTTGGGAGCCCATGGGGGAGCTCACTGAGCCCGCAGTTCCTCCTGTACCCACATCTCCTGTGGTCTCTGACCAGGTCCTGTTTTTGTTTTACCCCAGGCAATGATAGTGCCCAGAGCTCTGTTGTGTCTCTCACGGCTTCTAAAGATGACAGCCTGGCACAGGAGCCCTGATGTAAGTGGGGTGTTAGGGGGAGCAGAGGGGATGCAGCTGTGCTGTGAGGATTATTTGATTTGAATATCTTGAGCATGCAATGGGCTGTGTAGCATGTCATGTCTCGCTGTGACCAATATGAGTTTATTCATGAATACTTTCTCTATAGTATGAGAGAGCTGCCTTGTGTGGAACTGAGGGGCAAGATTTATTCACACTTCCCCTTTGTGACTTCCAGAACCCTGATTTCTCTTTCTGCAAAGAGAAATGTGTTCAAATGTGTCTTCATCCCTGTTAGGATAATGCGACGAGGTGGGGAGATCAGCCCACCCCCGTGTCCACCGTGACCCCCTTCCCCGCACTGCCCCATGTTAAAACTGTTATCTTCCCTGCTCCAGAGATCTGGGGCTTAGATGTCTTTATTTTTCTCAAGTTCATGCTGCACTGAGCTGCAACTTCCTGCTTCCCTATTAAAATTAGAATCTGAGTATAAATTTATTTCTTCAAATTCTTGCCATGGGAGGTTGATGAGTTAATTAAAGGAGGAGATTACTAAAATTTAAGAGACAAAATAAATGGAAGACCTGAGAACCTTCCAGAGTGCATGTGCTTAAGAGACAAAATAAATGGAAGACCTGAGAACCTTCCAGAGTGCATGTGCTTCTTCTGCTGATCTGTTGTAGGGGAGGAGAGTAGATGGTGCTGTGGCCAGTGAGTCCTCAGGCTGATATGGGCTTCATGTGGTCACTGCTTGGCTGGGTCATCTTGGCTGCTCCAATGGCCTGGGTCCTTCAGTAGAACCTTGTCCCACCAGGACCTGAGATCACAGGGACTTAAATGTTATTTAGGGCAGTCCCTGCACACAGAAGTCCTTGTGGTTATCAAGAGACTGAGTTTTCAGACCTGCCTAGCTCTTGCCTGCCTTCCAGGACTCTTTCCTGGATTGCATTTTCCATCTTTTCCCCAGCCCTCTTAAAGGAACAAGATTCTGGAATTTGCAAAGAGGAGGGATTCGATAATTTCGCATCATAGATAACTTTCTGTTGGAGCTCCTCTTCTGCTCTCTCCTACTCTACGTCCTGCCCTGAATTGTAGTGACCCTAGTTCCAGCTCCAATCCAAAACCATGGATTTGTAAAACAGTGTAATTTAGATTTATATGCAGCTGGAAAATTGGACTTAAAATCCTAGGATTATCTTTCCTGAAGAGAGACATATGGTTGTGTGCTGCCCTATGCAGCAGGGTTAGTGTGGGAGGAGGGAGGGGGGGGGCATACAAGCAGCACTGGTGACAAAAGCACTGGTGGCACTGATGTCAGTGTGAGAGGATGTTGTGTTATAGCTGCCACAAAACAGTATTTGGCCTGAGGCTACATTAATAAAGATACTGCCTTTCAGATAGGGAGGTGCTCTATGGTGATCTTTCATTGAACTGACATTTGTTGTCTGCTAAGCGAATGACCGTTTCTGCATTTGGAAAATATCTTTAAATTAAAAACAGAATAATTTCTTGCCTTGTGGTGCATATGTTCCAGAGAGAAGAGGCAGATGCAAGATACACCATAAGCAGAGTAAGGAAGGAAAATGCTCGTGTTAGAAGCTGGCAAGTGCTGTGGGGGTGACCCAGAGTGTGGGCTGTGGGGACAGGGAGGTGACTGCTGTACTATGTGGTCAATGTGGGCCTTGTTGCAAATGTGACCTTCAAGGAAAGGTGTTATTTTATTTTTTGACAGTTGGCAGAGCTAACTGTGGCTTTATTTTGAAAAAAAGATAAAAAGAAAAGGAAAACAATTCTGTTGTAGCTGAGGGCATGTGCAAATGGACGTAGCCCAGGCAGTAAACTGCTGCCATGGGTGGGCTGAGGGTGAGGGCTGAGCCTCAGGTGCGACTCCTGATCCCTATGCTCCCCTGCACAGCGGCTTCCCCTGCTGGCTGTGGGGCAGTCACAGGAGGGAGTAGGCTGGGAGGGGCTGCTGTGCCAGTTCACTTGGGCAGGACATTTGAGAACTTGGACACCAGCTTTCTATAACGGATCTCAATTTTCCTCATAACCATGGCCCTGGAGGAGCTAGTGCTGCTGAAGGAGGTGGAGCCACCACCAGAGCCCTGGAGCCCAGGCTGTAGCTGAGGCCAGGGCTTGGGAGGCCCCTGCAGGCCAAGCTCAGCCACCTGAGTAGCCACTGGTGGGGCTCCTATGGATACTCAGGTTCCATATCCCAGATTCCAGCCAGCTCTCCTTGCCCTGCAGCAGCTTCCTGTAGGTGGTGGTCTCGATGTCCAGGGCCTGCTTGATGTACATTAACTCCTGGTAGTGGCA